CAAGATCATCAGCTGTTGAGAAAGGGCACGTATGTCTAAGCTGTGAGGCAAGGAGAGAGCCTTGAAGGGTTGGGAAAAGCACCATATTTGGTGATGGGAAGGACGAATATTTCACTTAATCAATTTTCCTTGCTAAATTCTATTATGGAAGTAGGAGTGAAAATTAGTAGAGATACTTCTTGCCCTTCTCCATTGGTTTTTCATTGCTCTAACCTTCAAAGTGGCGGCCACCCACACTGATGGAGGAACAGGAGCTTTTGTGATGCTTTTCCCTTTGCCCTAAATAGAAGATTCCTTCTGTTTATATCACAGTCAAAATCCTTCCACCCATCTTCCTCCGTTCCCCAGCAGAATTCATCTTTCCTGCCCCTCTAGAGTCCTCCCATATGGGAAAACAATTAACATTTCCCGGGTACCTTACAAAGTATAACTCAATAGTTCTTACAAAATATATCTCCCCAAATTCTGACAGTACCATTGAGGGGTTAGAAGATGAGAAACTTGGGGTGCCTGGGTGGCTCAGTTGGTTAAATGTCTGACTTTCAGCTCAGGTCATGATCTCAGGGTCCTGGGATCGAGCCCCACATTGGGCTCCCTGCTCTGGGGACTCTGCTTCTCCCTCTCCCTGCTCTTGTGCTCTCGCTTGCTCTCTCTCTCTTCCTCTCAAATAAATAAAATCTTAAAAAAAAGAAAAAAAGAAGATGAGAAATTCAGGACACAGAGAAGTTGCCAGTTTCCTGAGGCCATGTCTAGTCAGAGGTATGGGAAAGAGCAGATCCTAACCCAAGTCTGTATATCATGGTACCTAAAAATATAAGCATCTTTCACCAGAGAAAATAGAACAATCCTCTCAGATAAATCTTTTATGCATTCAGTTTATTTTTTTTTAAAAGCAATCTATGCTGAATTTAAGTCATTTTTATGTGTCTGTGTTTCCCACTAGATTATAAACCTTTAAATGTCAGGAAGTAGGTCTTAATCAAGTCTCTGTTGTACCCAGAAAACCTATCAGGAGATCCTAACTCACAATAAATATGTAAGTTGTTAGTTGGATAATTCAAAACTACCTCTGTGTTGGGTGCCTGGGTGGCTCAGTTGGTTAAGCGACTGCCTTCAGCTCAGGTCATGATCCTGGAGTCCCTGGATCGAGTCCCACATCGGGCTCCCTGCTCAGCAAGGAGTCTGCTTCTCCCTCTGACCCTCCTCCCTCTCATGCTCTCTGTCTCTCATTGTCTCTCTCACAAATAAATAAAATCTTAAAAAAAAAAAAAAATAAAAACAAAACAAAACAAAAAACTACCTCTGTGTTTTTACCGGTACATCCTTCTTGCCATTGCCATGCTAGACGTAGAAACCAGTCCCTCCCATTTTATTTGGGCAGGGGCTTAGGGTCCCAACCAAACTTTCATGCCAAAGGAGATGCCTTAATTCATGCCATCTAAAGACTCTTCATTATGAGGACTGGTTCTTAAGAGAATGGTTCTGATCATCAATTTTACCTTGGTTTCCTGGTAGGAAGATTTTAGTCAACTGAATAATCCCAGAACCACAAACTCATTTCAAATCAGTCTAATGCAAGGGTCAAGAACATTGATTTTCTTTCAGAGGACCCTTCCCTGCTACTCTCTGGTCATGGGCAAGTTGTTGTCTTATCTCTTAGACTCCTAGATTTTTCATCCAAAAAAGGGGGGAGGTCATCATTCTTACCCTGAGGATTGTAGTGAAAATAAGTCTCAAACCAAAATGATGATCCCTACTGCCCTTCCTCAACCTGGTCTTCCTCTTGCTCCCCTTGCTTGGCCCCTTGCTTGGTGAGTGACCTCACTAGCTGCATGTTTGTGCAAACCAGAAAGACACCTCCCTCTCCTTCAAGTTCCCCTGTCAACCAGCCACCAGGTTCTATGAATGGTATGTCTTGTCTTGAAATCATCCCCTGCACCACCAGCACCAGCCCCCCCCATAGCTAAATGGGCTCACCAAATCCACTTTTTTACCCACCTCTTCAACACACACTCCTAACTTTTCACCATATAACCAGAGACATCGTTCAAAAATTTAAGTGTGAGGGGCGCCTGAGTGGCTCAGTGGGTTAAGCATTTGCCTTTGGCTCAGGTCATGATCCCAGAGTCCTGGGATGGAGCCCCCATCACCCGCCCCCAAAAGGCTCCCCGCTCTGCCCCTCCCCCTGCTCATACTCTCTCCCTCTCTCACTCTCTTTCAAAGAAATAAATAAAATCTTCTAAAAAATTTTAAGTGTGAGACTACATGCTTATTCTGAGAGCTCCTAGCTAAGGTAAAGAATCTTTGATACAATCTAAGAGACCAGGTGCGCTCTGGTTTTTGCCTCCAGCCTTGAGGTCTGTGCTTTCTTTGAGCTCCTCCAATTAGCCATACACCTCCCCACCTTTTGCACATTTCTGTTGTGGAGAATGTTTATCCCCATAACCCCTTTCCCCTTTTCTCCTACCATTTTCCAATTCTAGTTGATTTCAAGTCAATTGCTCGGGGAAGTTTTGCTAATTTACCTTTGCTCACGTACACGTGTACCCAAGACTAGGTCAATTCCTTTGATATAGGTTCTCATATTACTCTTTTCCTTTCCTCTATAGCTTTAAGAATGGTTTAACATTTTACATTTCTATGATTATTCCACAAATATCTGGCCAAACTACTCCAATATAAGACCCCTGAGGAACTATGTCAGTATTGCTGTACCTCCAGTGCTTAATACAGTACCTAGCACGTAGTACAGTCTCCATAAATACTTGTTGAATGAGTCTGTACTTTGTATATGGTAGCCATTACTCTGAATGTTACCAGACTCCCGAGTTTCTGACGAAGAGCTCCATCTTCAGATCCAGAGCAAGTTCAAACCATGGCCCTGTTCATCTCGAGCAGCTATCCTTTTCGTGTGTCTCGTCTGTACATGGGAATACGTGTACCTGCCTTACCGAGTTGTCAGGAGGATTTAGTGAGCTAATGTAGTGTCAAGTGCCTCACACCGTGCTTGGCAGGGGGCTCCAGCCGTATGGACTAGTAATGACTGTCATTAATACAGGCCAGATGGTCATGTAAATAACCCGAGCGCAGGCCTACAGTTGTCCCTTTGCCGACCCTGACCACTCCAATTCGCAGGGTGGGGCTTCCCGGGGGTCTGCGGCCTCACCCGGCAACCTGCCCCCTCCACGCCCCTCCGGGGGATCTCTGCGGGAGGCGGCGCCTGCGGCCCACACCCGACCGGCGCTCCGAGGCAGCCGGGCGGCGGCGCAACCCCAAGCTGGGCTCCCGCGGGGGCGCGGGGGCGCGGGCGGCAGGTGCCGGCCGCTCGGCGCGCCCCTCCTCCCAACTTTCCCTGGTCGCGCCACTCTCCGCGGCTCTCCGGGGCGCGCCCGCGCGGGGTCCGGGAGGCCACACCGCCAGCGATCGCGTCGTCCCCCCTCCCACCTTACCGCCCCCCCCCGCGAGCCCGCAGGCCTCGTGCAAGGTTGGCCCGGCCCTTGCCGCTGCCCACCGCTTCCAGGGGCACGGACCGCCCCGGTTTCCGCGGGAGTAGGGAGCTGTGCATTTTAATCATGTTAGGAGGACCTTTCCAGTCGTCAGTTCCCAGGAGGGCTCTCCCGTTGGCGCACGGTTTCATTCTGTTTGGGGATCCGACTTGAGAGAGAGAGAGAGAGAGAGAGAGAGAGAGTGTGTTTATCTTTACTTTGTGGGGCAACTCTTAATGAGAAGTCTATGAGACCTTAACCCTGCACTCTTTTCCTGCTAAAGCTGTCTTTAGAAATGTTGGGAAAAAACGTTTTTTCTTACTTGAAGTCCCTTTTAATTAATTTGTGAGCGATGATATAATACAATGCTACAGTATACGTAATGGTATATAGTCTGTATTAAACATTCCTCAAAACCTTTCTACCTCTCAAGCTTGATGCTCGTTTTGAACCTTGAAAATACCACGAAGTTTTCCTGCCCAATTTTTTTTTGACAAGTCAGAGTATGCCAACCGACGAACTTGAGTTTCAATAGCGGACACATGTAAACGTTAACGACTTCACAAAGGCACCAAACTAATAGTTACTCTGTGTGGCTTTGGATTCCAAAGGGCAACTGGGCAATGTCTGTCAGGTTGTGTAGGAAATCAGGTTGTGATCTCAATCCTGAAAGGGTTAAAAAAGCTCATAGTTATGAGCACCCTTACAATAGCTGACCCATAATCCATTAACAATCTATCCTCAAGTGTGTGGGATCAAATAGCTTAAATTAAATGAAAAAAAGTTGAAGTCTTTGTCAGCACCTTACATCAGTTTAGATGAGCTGCAAGTAAATAATTTCCTAACCTTTTAGAAATGAAAAGTTTAGTGACTACTATTTACACGCTTTGAATATTTTATATTTGAGTGGTCATCACAGTTTACACAAATGATTGTATATATCCACTTCCAATCAACAAATATCAGGGTATCTGTGTTCTGCGACGGTTAGCATTTCAAGCTTTTCTGTAAAGGTGATGTTATATAAAACTGCAAAGATGACTGCGTCTTGTCCAAAGGTCATTTAGAGAATCTGAAAATAAAATTATTAGGGACAGCTTCGCAGAAGTAGGGTGATGACTTATAATTGAAAAGAATTTATGCGGTGGTGTAGAAATCAAAGCCTCAATGATCACATGAAATAGTTAATTTTGTTTTGGTTTTTGTTTTAAACACTGGTTTCTAGAGCATTAAAAAAAAAATCCTCAGAGGTTTGTTAAACCTTTAGCGGAAGATTACAGCCAATGTTTTGTCTTTGGTGAAGAGCTGTTTGTCTCACTTTATTTACTTGGTATTGGATATTTGTCAATGTCATTTCATATCTACAGAAAATTCTTACGCTCTATGGAGGTAGTGAATGTGTGTGTGCGTGTCTGCCGGAGGTCACATGACAGTTTCATCCTATTTGGTGGAGCAGCTTGACTTTTTTTCCCCTTGCTTTTGGTGATGGTTGTGAGTGCAGAAGTTGATTGACAGATGCATGCCAGAAACCCCCATTCTCCTTTTCAAAGACAACATAGGATGGATTGCGATCTCTCAGCTCAGCAGGATACGGGGACCATGCAAGCTGTAATTGGTCAGGTATGGAGTCAGCCATTTCTCAACTCCCCCCTTTTTTTTTTCCACAAGGGTCTCACCATATGATTCACATAATTCATATTTACAGTACCATCTTTCTGTCTGTATCTCCAGCGACCTGCCAGGGTAGTGCTGAAAGTGCGGGAGGCAAAAGGCACCCAGTAAATCTAGCCAGGGAACCTCAGCCTCAAACTTCCACGCGAGGCTTCACAACAAAAATTAAAACAACAACAGAGGAAAAAAAAAAAAAAAATCCAAGGGCAGATCTAATTTAGAATTTGGCCTGGATGTTTAAAAAAAAAAAAAATCTATGTCTCAGGATTTATTTTCTGTCGAGATGGTGAGCTCTGGAAGAAAGTGTGAGGAGAGAATAAAGTGCTATGTTTCCTAGGTAGTAGTTAAAATTGTTCTGTTCCATATTTTCATTTGGGCTGTATTCTCTCTGCCTGTCTCCCTCTCTGTGTGGAAAATGGAAATAGAGCAATACACGTGCCTTTACTTCTAACCCAGATAATGTGTGATTGAGCCTGGTAAATGTAGTAGTGGTCTTGGACGCTGCAGAGGGGCAGGCAGCAAATTAAACACCGCCACACTCTGAAGGGTCCAGGTGGTCTGCTCGGCTTCCTAATGCAATCCAGCACCAGAGCCATAATAAACAGCTCTATTTAGTGCCTCCTCCCTGGATTCAGGGAGGTGAACTGGTCTGGGGTTGCTGTGATGAAATGCCAGAAGAATCTCTCTCTGAGGCCTCACAAGCTGATTTTTAGAGCTTCGCTGTTCTGTCGTCTTTGTCTTCCAAATGGGTCAGTGAGTCTTGATCTTTCCCGTTCGGGCGCTTTCTGTGAAATCGGGACTTCATGTTTGTGTGTAAATGTTTTGCGTCGGAAGCTCAATCAGGAGAGGAAGGGGATCGTTGTATTTTCATTTGCCTTCCATAACTGAATGGTAGTGCCCTGCTGCAAGGGAAGGGTGATTTTTCTATGCTGGGGGTGGGGTGAGGAAAATGAGAACATATGTGGCTTCTTTCTTTTCTCCTTCTGGTAATGTATTTTTGATCCAGTTTTTTTCTAAGTTATCCAGCCTTACTTATGAACTGTTACCTCATCAGTCTGAATGTGGTTACGAATATTGATGAACTCCTGAAAGTTTTTTTTTGTTTTTTTTTTGCACACTTTCCAATCAAGACAAGCTGTCAAGGGGATGATGTGAAATTTGTTTGCTGTATGTTAATAGCATGGTGGAAAATATACCAATTTACTCTGTTTTCAACCAAATTATAGCAAAGCACTTTTGGGTTCTGAAGGCACATGGTTTATTAATACCAGCATGCTTCATAATGTATTTTTAGATGGGAAATGTCAGATACATAATACCATGTGTCCACAGGCTCACACTATTTTAAAAGCAGTAGATACCTGCTTCGGTGGAACAATATTTTTTAAAAACTTCCAAGTTGGTTTTTGTTATACAGACAGATAAAAAGTGAAGTCTCTGGGCATACATTTGGCAGGAGAAAATATGTAAAGACTGATTTTATATACTGTTAATACCCACTTAAGTGTAGGTGTTCACTGATGAGCAAGTAAGTATATCAAATTTAACTAAAATAATCGTGGCATATAGGATTAAATAAATAACCTGTTAAAGATGACCTTTTCGTAGATAAATAAAACTTGATCGCCCGCCTGATAACAGTTTTGTCCTGTTTAATAAAACTTTTCTCAGGTTGCAAACACGTTCTGTCACCCATATGTCATGGTATGGTCATAATCCTGTGCAAAATTACTGTATTTCAGTCCCAGAAAAGAAATAAGATTTCCTTTCATGTATATTTCCCTTAGTTGGGAAAAGAAACTTGGTTTAAAAAAGACAAGAGAGATATTTCTAATTCATTAATCAATACTGCTTATTGGAAATAATTGCAAAGGTATATACTTTTAAAAGGTTCAACTATGTTCTTTAAAAAAGGAAACTGGGATACATTTTACAGATATCAGATTTAAGCTGCTAGTTTTTCAGGAGTTAAAATTGGTTGTTATTATTACATAACCTGGTATTTGGTACGTACTCTAATTTTTAGAGACTCAGTATGTCCAGCAATTATACATGTTAATGACTTGTCACAAATACTTTCTAAATCGTTGCATCAAAGTAGCCACATGTTTTCTGAAGATTTCATTTCTCATACATTATTTGCTTAAAAAAACCTCAGATACTTTTGTCAAGCTGGGAAATTATAAAAATAGTTGTTCTGAAGGTTACACAAATTGTCTGTATTAAAAATGTACAAGCTACAATGCTTACTTCTTCTGAAACTGAAACACTAGTATGCAAAAGGAAAGAAAAATGGCATACTGCCCCATCTGCCTATCATAAAAGTCAGAAAACCTAAATTGAGCCCCTATCTGTAGATAAAAAAGGAAGATGGCATAAGTATTTGAAATGATTTCCTTTTAATTGTTATAGCACAGGTAAAAATATTTACCCAAATGACTACTTCTAACGATGAGCATGTGACAATAATCTTTGCTGCTTTTCAGTCAATCAGAATAAAAAATGTTTTTGTTTTTTCAGCTGTTGATTTCAGTATCGTGTTATACCTACTCAGCAGGTGTGAACAGTCCCATCTGATCATGCAAATGTTAGTTTGCGTTCCTCCTCAAATACATATTGGAATAATAATTATTTCCGTCCTTTTTTTTTTTTTTCCCCTGTTCTTAGTTCTGTTCCTAAGTGGATTTGGGTTAGAGGAGCAGATAACCCATTTTCAATGATATTTTCCATTCAGAATACTGAAGGATTCCCATGAAATACGATCTTTTAGGTTTTTCATTCATCTCTAGGATCAAATATCCAGTTGCTTCCACTGGAGGGGAAGAGTGGACTTCTCTGTGTTGCTGGCCATGATCCAGCTCGGGAGAGTATCCTGGTTCCATGGAGCAGATATTGCTCATAAATGTCTTTCCCCCAGGATTTTCTCTCCCCCGAGCAAGCAATCAAGCAGTCTAGTACTTAAGAACAAACTCCCTCCCTAAGATATCGAGATCAAGAAACTTGGTTCATTCATATAGTTCTTGGAAATCAACTGGGTTTTTGATAGTTAACTGTAGCATGCTTCCTAACCCTTTGAACTCTAGGGTGGATTGTTGCCTTCTGATGATTTTTCAAATCGACCCCAACTATAAACAGTTAAGCAGTTCTGAGCCATGGGTTTGAATACCCTTTAAAAATGAAGACTCTCGCATTTCCACCTCTCATGGTCATTAAATGTTTACTGCATTTTTTCTTTTTTGCAGACCTGAGCTTGTGAGTGACAGATTAGTTCATCAGTATTACAGACCTCCTGGTTGCTTTTTTTTTTTTTTTTCCCCTCATCTCATGCAGACGGGTCACCGTGTCCAATCCTCCTTCTGGCACTGCTGTCCCCAGAGGACCCTTGGCCAGCCTGCCATCTTGATGTGCAGGCCTGAGGGTCTGGGCTGGCTGCACGCTTCCTTCTACTGGCTTCTGCAGATATTACAGAGTAGAGGATATTAAATTAGTTGTTAATAAAAACAACAGATGAGGTAAATTAGATAAAAATATTTATCAAGCATATCTAAGAGTTTGCTAGGAATGGGAGAGACACAGCTGGGTAAAAGTGCTCATGGGTCCACGTCCAGTGGACATGGCTAAGTGATCGTGGAAGAGTGGAGAAACCAGGCTTAGTAGGATAGGACGTGCATTCAAAAGCTTTTGCAATTTTCCTTATCAGTAAAATGGGTCTTCGTTTTTTTGTTTTTTTTTTTTTCCAAGGTAAATGTAGACAACTGAGAGTGTTTGAAAGTGGAATGTTATTTGAGACAGGGCTCGAGTGTGTGTGCTGATGGCTTGGAGGCCAAGTGCCATTAACTTGGTGCGTTTGGCTCAATAGGATCTCAGTGCGTGTTTTCTCGTATGAAGATTGTAAAACACAAAAATACTTCATTGTTCTGGTAGTAAAACAATTGTGTATGTGGGTTTATGTATACCCTTACTGTTCCCAAAAGTATTTAGCATGGCTCTAAGGACAGTGTGTTTAACCAGTACATACCCAGGCTGACGTGAAATGGAGGTGGTCCAGGGAAAGGGGACCCCGCTGGTGTGTAGGAAACACAGTTGCCTATTGTCCTCAGTCCATTTTGACTGATTTTCATGCCCTTTATATAAAAATTAAACTTGAGGGCTAACCTAACCCTGTTTTACCCATGCCAAGCATAATTCGCATGTGTTCTGAAAACTCATTTTTGGAAGTGTGAATGCCCTTTCCTTACGAAACCAACATATCACTTCAATGAATTTATATACTTGAGGGCTGTGAAATTGTTGTTTGGATTTAATAGAGAATACTTCTTTTCAGTGTATTATAAGTGAAGAGTATACTAGAAAAATACAAATTAATTAAGGATTATTCTTTCTGAATACAAAATGGTGCTAGTATCCCTTTTGTAAGGAATCGAATCGGTACCGTGTATTTCCAATTGAGTCAATACTCCACTTAGAGGAGAGTTGGCGTTAGCTTTTTATAGTCTTTGGACGGACTCAATTTTTATTACCTTTAAAATACTTGAAAATTGAAGTTCAGGGTGTCACCTCAGTCGTATTTAAATTGTAAAGCCAATTTTGTCCATTAAACGAACAATGTCTCAATATAGTAATGATACTATACAATAATGTCGATAATAATACTCACCCCGCACAGGAAAGCTGGTCTTGAAATCACGCTTTCTTTTCTATTTCTAAGATCACTGAATGAGACTCTCTCTATCCAAGTATAGATTTCTGTGGTTAAGAATCTAAAGCTTTTGGATTCATGTCTCTAGAATATGGAGAGAGGTTGCTGGAACACAGAAATAGAATACTTATGAAAGAAAGTTTGAATGTAATATGTTTCCTGTGTATCAAATCTTTAGTACTTGCTGGGGAGGTGAGTGAAAGAAGGCATCCTTCCGTTCACAGTCACTTTGCCATGTAAACTGCATTTT